TGGACCACTAAAAATTAATTTTATGTATTCACTCACTTATACAGAGGGAGTGCCAGAAATGTTTTAAAGCACCAAAAGAGAAAACAGAAATAAATGATTGTGCAAAATAAATACAATACTTTTCTCTTGTGGGTTTGAAAAATATTTTTGGAAATTACCTCTGTATGAGGGTGAGTGAATACACTCAAAATTAGTGTTCTACTTTGGTTTGTGGTGTGTTCACCATAAATTTACTATTGTGTATGCGAGATCGACAGACTTCCTCGAGTCCAACTCTCTGCTAGACTCGCTTACGTCTGGTTTCCGCGCTAAGCACTCTGTGGAAACGGCACTTACCAAAGTATCCAATGATCTACTTGCTGCAAAATCTCGTGGTCAGTACTCTATCCTAATCATCCTTGACCTTTCTGCGGCTTTTGACACTGTTGATCATCAACAACTTCTTCTCATTCTCCGCAATATCGGTCTATAAGATACGGCTCTCTCCTCCTACCTCTCCCAGTGCTCTTTCAGTGTTTCTTTCTCTGACTCTGCTTCTTCTCCCCGACTCCTCTTTGTTGGTGTACCCCAAGGTCCAGTCCTTGGTCCCCTACTGTTTTACATCTATACTGCCTCCCTTGGTAAACTCATTAGCTCCTTTGGCTTCCAATATCATTTCTGTACGGATGACAAGCAGATCTATCTGTCCTCTCCTGATCTCTCTCCGTCCCTCTTGACTAGTGTCTCTGACTGCTTCTCTGCTATTTCTTACTGGATGGCTGCGCACTTCCTTAAACTCAACTTGACCAAAACTGAAATTCTGGTCTTTCCTCCCTCAAGTGTTGCTACTCCTGTGTCTGTCTCCCTCCAAGTCAAAGGTGCTACCATCAGCTCCACCAAGCAGGCTCGCTGCCTAGGTGTTCTCTTTGACTCTGACCTCTCCTTCATGCCTCATGTTCAGTCTATCGCCAAATTCTGCCGCTTCCATCTCAAAAACCTTGCGTGCATCTGACCCTACTTAACACCAGATGCAACTAACGTGCTGATCCATTCCACTGTCCTTTCTTGCCTTGACTACTGTAATCCGCTTCTCAGTGGTCTTACGTGCTCCCAACTTGCGCCATTAGAGTCCATAATGAATGCGGCAGCGAGGCTCATCTTCTTTCCGCCCGCACCGCCCACGCCTCACCCTTCTGTTAGTCCCTACATTGGATTTCTGTAAGATATAGGGTTCAATTTAAAATTCTAACTCTTGCTTTCAAATCTCTACATAATGCTGCTCCCACCTACCTATCCTCCCTAATACACAAGTATGTCCCGTCAAGGCCCTCTGATACTCGCCTTCAAGACTTCTCGAGTGCTGCACCGTTCCTGTGGAACTCATTTCCCTCCTCCGTTAGATGCTCACCCAGTCTCCACTCCTTGAATAACTCATTAAAAACCCACTTCTTCATAAAAGCATATCAATTAAACTTTTAATAGCTCCCGACTGATTGCTCTCTTGCAATTGTCATTAGTCTAATACTATCCTTACCTTTTGTGTCACTTCACCCCACTCCCTCTAGCATGTAAGCTCATTGAGCAGGGCCCTCCACTCCTCTGTTCCTCTGTGTCCAACTTGTCTGGTTACAACTACATGTTTGTTTGTTTGTTCGTCCGTCCACCCACTGTAATGAGCTGCGGAATTTGTTGGCGCTCTTTAAATAATAACAATAATTATAATAATAATAATATATACTTTTAATGTTTGTAGTAGGGTAATAAGCAACGTACATAAAAAATCACCCTACCTAATAAGGGGGAAAAACTATTTAACAGTTTTCTTGATGTTGAGAGAGAGGAGCACGGTTTAATTGTATATTGTCAAGAATTGCTGAAATTAAATCTAAGAGTACAATATGTTGACAGATTATCGCCACTTGTACTTTACTACCTCGTACACTATAAAGATGCAAAGGACATATTGCAGTAATCAACTGGGAAGTATATGTTTGTCATGCCATGGCTTATGGATGCTATTTAACATTAAGAATGCATACCACCCAACTGTCCTTATTTAGGAGGGACAATCCCTATTTTGGACCCATATTTTTGTTGTTGTTGTGTCTGAGTGTATAACTGAGCTCCGCAGCAATAATACTCACAGTAATGTGTCTTTTAACTAAAATAAATGTGGTTAACAATCGGTCTGTGTAAATAAGATACATTGTTCTTATTGTAAACTACTTATTAGTAAGTCACCTAAAATTTCACAGAACTGACCCAAACCTAGCCACACCCCTAAAATTGAAGTGTCCCTCTTTGTCCGTTTGAAATGTTGGGAGGTATGTAATGACATGAACAGGGTTATTCACTTAAATCAGAATTGCTGGGAATTCTAAGTGAATAAAAAAATGTTATACTAATATAGCCAAACTAGAAGCATAGCTGACTTGGAGAATTTTTCCAATTCAGTTTTTTTGTCCTTAAAGGGACACTGTAGGCAGAGTGCCTGCTTCATCTCATTAAACTGGTTATAGCATCTGGAGTGATGGTCTGGTACCATCCTTTAATTCAGCATTAAACTCCCCTCTGTGCTGCTTTGACTAATGAGGAAGTATTAGCCTGAGCAGCAATGGGCAGCAGCAATGGGCAGCTGTCATTGGCTGAGAGTGTAAGCTGGCAGCTTTTAGCCTATCAGAGCTCCAAATGACGGTATGAATGGGTATGACAACAAGGAAGTGTATAATCTCGGGCTTTGAAACACCTACAGAAGGGGCCAGACTGTGGTTGGCCAGGGACCCTTATTTAGTGTTAAACTGCTATAAAGTGGTTTAACACTGAATGGAGGGACAGTGCCATGGGACTCCAGGCACTATAACAAATTCAAAGAGATGAAATGCCTATAGGGACATCAATGTCCCTTTAAATCTGTAATTCACTTTAAATTCCTGACAATTCTCACCTTGGTAAATAACCCTGTAGAAATTTCATCCTCCAAATATTTATCACTTTAAAAATCCATACCGATGATCTATGTTAATAATAACATATACAAATCAGGTACACTGCTTAACGGAGATCTTTATTTAACATGCACATAAGAAACACTGTTGCACTTAAAATTAATGCTGATAACAAGCCATTAGGAACCATGTTTTAAGATACTGGCGCCTTGAATACAGTAAAAACCAATGATAAACACTGCATAACAATACATGTTACATTAAAAAAAGAAAGAAAATAGAGATGGTTTAATGTTTCATATGCTCAACCTCCACCAAGTCTGTACGTTAATGTGCCCGTTCTGTAAGATAAATGAACAGATTTATCTAGTTAACATTCCCTGGTGTCACTTGGATCTGCATCTTGCCTGTTTCTGCAGACATTAAATTTTCTGTGATAAATTGCTGATGACATACATGACGGTGCTCATAATATGCAAGCTGCGAATACCATCGGAAGCTTTTTTCTTTAGATAATTCTAAACGCTACCCTGCTTATTAGGGGTGGACAAAAGGCATATCCTCAGCTGCTGCAGAACTACAACTTCAATGTGGCTGTTACAGCCTTAAGGTTGGAAAGGCATGACGGAGGTTGTAGTTCTACAACAACTGGGCATAAAACTTTTGGCAAGAAATTGTGCCAACACAGATATAAATTGTGCCAACACAGATATAAATATAATTCTCCCAAACCTTTAGGATTATTCATGACTGACAAATTAGCAGTAAGCATCACAAAGAATACCAACCCAGTCTGTGTACAGCCCTTAAGAGTAAATACAGTCATCCAATGATACAGTATGGTTTCAGCGTTCACCAGCCTCCATACATAATAGTGGCGACTTTACAGGCTTCTGTGCCTTTAGTGCAGGTGGGTTAATCGAAATAATGAATTCCTGATTAACTGGTAATGTGTGCCAAAGTGTGCCTGTACTCTAAAAATTGGAGGTAAAGAAACCCAACAGTAAATCAAATTCAATGAATGCTCAGAAAAATCGTCAAAGACAGTGTAATGGAAATCATGATACATTGCATCCTGAGAATCATGGCGATAGCTTTAGTGTAGGTGAAAGGATAAGTAAACGCCATCTTCTTTGTAAAATAACTGAAGAGTGCAAATACGTAGGGGCAAAACAATATAATCTCTTCAAGAATATATAGCATCTGTGTCCTCTGTGACGGAGTCAGAAGAAAGCTTCATTTGCTGAAATGAAAAAGATAGAAAGAGTTAAAGGCAGCAGCTGTGATTTTAGCAAAATTATCCCATCCAAGGAAAAGCTAAAAAGTCAAGGCATTTCCTCATGTTTATCAATACAATACAGTCTACAGGGGTGTTCTGTTTGTGCATATCGCATTAAGTTAGGTGGCAAAGTGATAGGAATGAAAACAGGTGGCAATGTGATAAGTTTCTATTGGTGCTTGTGATAGGACGGTAGGTGGCAGTGTGATATGAGTTTCTATTTGTGCTTGTGATATGATGGTAGGTGGCAATGTGAGGGGACTTCTCTTGGTGCATGTAGTATGAAGGTAGGTGTCAATGTGATGAAGTTTCTCTTGGTGCTTGTAGTATGAAGGTAGGTGTCAATGTGATGGGAATTCTCTTGGTGTTTGTAGTATGAAGGTAGGTGGCAATGTGATGGAACTTCTCTTGGTGTTTGTAGTATGAAGGTAGGTGTCAATGTGATGAAGTTTCTCTTGGTGCTTGTAGTATGAAGGTAGGTGTCAATGTGATGGGAATTCTCTTGGTGTTTGTAGTATGAAGGTAGGTGGCAATGTGATGGAACTTCTCTTGGTGTTTGTAGTATGAAGGTAGGTGGCAATGTGAGGGGACTTCTCTTGGTGCATGTAGTATGAAGGTAGGTTTCAATGTGATGGAACTTCTCTTGGTGTTTGTAGTATGAAGGTAGGTGTCAATGTGATGGGAATTCTCTTGGTGTTTGTAGTATGAAGGTAGGTTTCAATGTGATGGAACTTCTCTTGGTGTTTGTAGTATGAAGGTAGGTGTCAATGTGATGGGAGTTCTCTTGGTATTTGTAGTATGAAGGTAGGTGGCAATGTGATGAAGTTTCTCTTGGTGTTTGTAGTATGAAGGTAGGTGTCAATGTGATGGGAGTTCTCTTGGTATTTGTAGTATGAAGGTAGGTGGCAATGTGATGAAGTTTCTCTTGGTGTTTGTAGTATGAAGGTAGGTTTCAATGTGATGGAACTTCTCTTGGTGTTTGTAGTATGAAGGTAGGTGTCAATGTGATGGGAGTTCTCTTGGTGTTTGTAGTATGAAGGTAGGTGTCAATGTGATGGGAATTCTCTTGGTGTTTGTAGTATGAAGGTAGGTGTCAATGTGATGGGAATTCTCTTGGTGTTTGTAGTATGAAGGTAGGTGTCAATGTGATGGGACTTCTCTTGGTGTTTGTAGTATGAAGGTAGGTGTCAATGTGATGGGAATTCTCTTGGTGTTTGTAGTATGAAGGTAGGTGGCAATGTGATGGGAATTCTCTTGGTGTTTGTAGTATGAAGGTAGGTGTCAATGTGATGGGAATTCTCTTGGTGTTTGTAGTATGAAGGTAGGTGTCAATGTGATGGGAATTCTCTTGGTGTTTGTAGTATGAAGGTAGGTGTCAATGTGATGGGAATTCTCTTGGTGTTTGTAGTATGAAGGTAGGTGGCAATGTGATGGAACTTCTCTTGGTGTTTGTAGTATGAAGGTAGGTTTCAATGTGATGGAACTTCTCTTGGTGTTTGTAGTATGAAGGTAGGTGGCAATGTGATGGAACTTCTCTTGGTGTTTGTAGTATGAAGGTAGGTGGCAATGTGATGGGAATTCTCTTGGTGTTTGTAGTATGAAGGTAGGTGGCAATGTGATGGAACTTCTCTTGGTGTTTGTAGTATGAAGGTAGGTGTCAATGTGATGGAACTTCTCTTGGTGTTTGTAGTATGAAGGTAGGTGTCAATGTGATGGGAATTCTCTTGGTGTTTGTAGTATGAAGGTAGGTGTCAATGTGATGGGAATTCTCTTGGTGTTTGTAGTATGAAGGTAGGTGTCAATGTGATGGGAATTCTCTTGGTGTTTGTAGTATGAAGGTAGGTGGCAATGTTATTTATTTATAAAAATATTTTACCAGGAAGGATACATTAAGATTTCTCTTGTTTTCAAGTATGTCCTGGGTCCACAAACCATTGCATTGATACAATAGCGTACAATAAAATACAAAAACAATATTAATACACGATATATACAAAATTTAACAAAGAACAGGTAAGAAATATATAATCAACCATGACAGGTGCATTCTGATTTGAGATATGTAGAGAGGAATCTCTTTAATGATTTTAGGCCTGGGGAAGATTTGGAAGTGTGTGGGAGGTTGTTCCATAGTTGCGGTGCTCTGTAGAAAAAGGAGGATCGACCAGCTTTTTTTTTGTATTGAGGTAGACTAAAAGTGCTGGTACTGGATCGAAGGTTAGAGGAGGTGGGAACAGTCAGAGAGAGCATTCTGCTCAGGTCAGGCGGGAGCTTCCCAGAAAAGCTCTTAAACACAAGGCTGAAAGATGAAGGGTGCGTCTGGATTCCAGCGACAGCCTGTTTAGTTATTTTAGCATGTCACAATGGTGGGTCCTGTAATTACATTGTAGAACAAACTGGCAGAACGAGTTATACAGTGTATTCATTTTATTAAGGTGGGTTTGCGGTGCAGGTGCATGTACTACATCCCCACAATCAATGACTGGCATCAGCATTTGTTGTACAACCTTTTCCTTTACTGTATGGCTTAGGCAGGATTTGTTTCTATTGGCGTACCAGTGATTTATAAAGAGGCAAAATTATATTCTCATCCAGAGAATGAATGCCCTTTTTTATGCATGACAATACCTTACTGGCCTATCTGTGTGTGTGTGTATGTGTCTGTGTAGGTATGTGCCAGTGTCGGCATTTGTGTATCTATGTGTATGTACCAGTGCTTGTATCTGCCAGTGTGTATCTGTGTGTATGTGCCAGTGTGCATATTTGTGTGTATGTGCCAGTGTGGGCATCTGTGTTTGGCTGCATGGCCCAGTGTGTGTTACGGAGTGTGTGTGTGTATGTATGTGCCAGTGTGGGTATCTGTGTGTAGGTGCCAGTGCACCTCTGTGTCAAGTTGTGTATATGCCAGTGTGTGTGTGTGTGTATCAGTATGTGTATCTGTGTGTCAAGGTGTGTGATTGTGTCTGTGTGTAAGTAGTTGTAATATGTTGTGTGTGTGACTCTGTGTGTGTGTGGGGGGGCAGTATGTAGGGATATGCATTTTGGGGGGGGAGGGGTGTTCAGCCACCTCCCTGAAATTAGTTTTTGCAAGTTTGAATGTCTGGAAATAAGTCATATATTGAGCAATGGATTCCTGTAGTAGAAGGTTGCTCCATCAAGGATACTAAATGTCATTGGATGCATTTCCGTAGTTGTGAACTGTTTTAGGGAATTTTTTTTTCCAAACCTCACACATGGCACTTTGAGCGGCAAGGAAAATTCTGGAGAACCTTCTCTGAAACTGACAAAAATCTATTACGAATAGAATTACACCAAAAGGAAGATTTATAAGTTTGATCATGGTGGTTAACACATAATGATAAAAATGAGATAGCATCCCAGTGCCATTCCAATCCTCGATTCTAAACGCACTTGATGATTCTAACTTTCACATTTATGGAAGTGTATCTGATCTTTCAGAAAGTGTGAGCATTCAACAAACACCTTTCAATACAGCTTTTCTACTATATGGAAAGAGAGTAGCAGATACATTTCTGTAGATGGCCTCTAGCACGTATTCCGTAGGAACGTAGTAAAGCAGTTAGCACAGCAGTGTGGACAAACTAAGGCCCCAATCTAGCAATTTTTGATAAACTTTTTAAATTATTTAGTAATTTGGATGAATTTTTAAAATTATTTAATATTTTGATATATACTTCTCTCTCTCTGTATTAGTTTTTGTTTATTGAAAATGGATGTGTTACGTGCAACTGGATTTTATACTTATTTCTGCATAGAGCACTTTGTTTAAGTATTTAGCATTTAAGTCACTTCTGCAGAATATTTTCTTTTTCTGTGGGAATGGTAAGTACACCTGAGAATACTCTATAGGCGCCTGCTCTGCTGATGTGATTGTACGGATATAGATAATTACACGAGTTGCAGAACTTCATGACTCTCCTAAAGGATGATGAGTGACTAGACTGTATCAGCAGTTCAAACCAAACCAACCACATACAATCTGGAGCTGCCAGAAAGGATGAGGATGGAAACACCTGCTCCAGAAATAGACCCAGTGACGTGCTAAGTGGCAGTCGAGTTTCCCATTTATTGTGCTTATTCACAGGCAGGGATTTCCGGCGTTATTGTGCTAGATTTGGCCTCCATGGGAAGCTGGGCCAAGAATCTCTTTCCTGTGACTGCATTAAGCTTCCTGCATCCTTTTAAATGCAGACGTAGTGTACCCATAGATTAGAGCTATAACCCATGGCTACTGTTGTTACACAATGCAATAAAGATTTTTATTTTTTTATTTTTAAAAGAACAACATTTAAATTTTTTTATTTAGAAAAATTATTCTTTTTTGATATTTTTTGTTACCGTTGTTAAAAAGTTAAAAACTGTAGAAATTACAGATTCTCTAGCTCAAGGTAAAACATGATCATGCAAATTCGTGGATGGAAAATATGATATTACTTTTCATTTAGAAAAAAGTATACTGGAAAGTGTATATATATACACATACATGCATATAGAGACAGACACAGACATAAACATATAGTTAGTTTGTAAATTGAGACAAACAAAATTGTCTTTTTTCTGTGCTATGGGATAAGAATTGCTTGAAAAGGGACACCATGTTATCGCTACGAGATCATACACTTTCTTATAGTTCTGCAACTCATTAACAAGTGCATGGCAAGGCAAGTAAATTTTTAATGTGGTTTTACAAAGATTGTGCAATTCCGTATGACACCTCCGTGCAACCACTCCCCTATACTCACCTTAGATAACACCTTGTAACTGACATAAAAATCTCTTGGACCTACATTTACTGTAACATACCTCCTGCAGAGATAGCTGCCATTTTTAAAACCTATGAATTGCCCAGGACCAGATGGCTTCATTGGCTATCAGCAGCACCTAGTGCAAGGCTTCTGCAGTAAAACCGGGAGTAGAGGTGGAGGCACTTTGAGAACAGTCACTATCTGGAGTTAAACAGATTGCAAACAGTTTAACCCCTTAAGGTTAGATGGCACCTAATGTCTCCAGATCGAGATGAAGTTGTTATGGTGCCTGGAGTGTTTATTTAATTTACATGAATTCATAGTTAATGAATAGTTAGTGAATAAACACTGCAAGGGATCTATTACTGACCATATTTGCTGGTCTTTCGTGTTCACTTATGTGTTATCCCTCCCCACATTTACTCAATGCTATTGCTGCTTCGTATCAAACAACCCCTGCACACATGTTTGTTCAATATCAAAAAAGATAGGGCTGCCCTCTACCTCGGCTTTTAGTGCTATGGGACCTACCAGAATATGCATTGGCTGACAGTACATTGCAACTTCTACACAGTTGCTGCTTATGCAGGGGACATTCTTTTTATATATATTCTCTATATGCATGTAAGCATTTACAAAGCAACTCTAAATCCTTGATGACTCTTTCTAGTTTCTGAGTAAATTTGCCTTACTAACTTATTCATCTTAAGCTGCAACCTTTTTTTTTTATCATTAAATACCTAAGCAGTGGCCGATCCAGGGCTGGGAAGCGCCAGGGCAAACGTTTTCCCCCAATAATCCAGTATTTATGTCTGTCTGGTGTCAGGGACTAACTGGAGGGTCACCCCCACTCTGTCCCCAAACTGTAATAAAAGTAAATTTAAAAAACGCCATAGCCACCACTTGGTAAGCCTGCTACACATATATGGGAAAGGGGCATTTGATTGGTCATAGTTGCAGATGCTACATGCGTGCATAAGTCTAGGTATTTGTCACTGCATGAATATTTGTGCATCTGTATTTGTATGTGTAGATGTCGCAAAATGCAGCAGTGACCCACCGAGTTTTGGCTGTGGATCCAGCTCTGTACCTTAGAATAATAACCTGATCACTAATCCCAGACCTATACAACCTAAATGATACCCTGCTCCTTACCGAAGCCAACACAGATCTGGCCGATTGGCAGAAAAAAGGGCATCTCTTGACTAGGCCATGTGGCTAGCATCGCAATGAATCCGTTACCTTCAGATTAATACTTGTTGCACGGTGTGTCAATTCTTATTTATATTTTCTTTTTTTGCAATAGACAAGCTTAAAAATGAGACGTTGCATATTATATCCACACTATACAAGGCAGTCAGGGATTGCCTCTGTATTACTAATACGTGTCAAAGCTCACACTAACACAGCAATGACATGACAATCTTGCAGTTAAGAGATAGGTGGCCTCTATGCATTATTAGGAGAGAACTAATTGTCTATAAATATTTGGTTGCCAAAACAGTATTATTATTATTATTTTATTATTTATACAGTGCCAGCAAATTCTGTAGCACTGTACAATATATCAACCCCTTTTCTCACCCACTTGCCCGTCATCGGAGACAGGCATCGCCATCTATAATTTCATCTTGGTTCATTTCAACTCACCTCTCACTTTTTTTCTGTAGCAACATATTCCCATCAGGTACGCTACATCAGGGAAATTGAAAACATGAGCATTTTTGAGATTTCTATATCTTTATTTTGAAGGACAGGTTTGACAGTTCTCCCATTATATTACTCTCTTATTACCTTTGAATTATTTTAATATACAGTTATGACACTATGCCAATATACCTGATGTTAAATCAGGACGCTCCCACCTTACGGTAGATTTCTACCATACTGTATATTCTTAATTTGCCTTCATTACATTGTCTCCTGAGGATACACTAAAGTATGTTAAACATTACAAGTGGCAGACTAAATCTGAAATAAAACAAAAAAAGAGGATTGTAATGTATAGCCAAATAGAAGCCTGAGCAACTGCCGTGTAATGTTATATTAATATTGCAATAAATTATTACTTGAAGAAATAGGACAAGGAGAACATAAGATCCCAAACCACCACCAAACACGATCTGATATGCAAAAATCACATCTGATTAACTTGTGGGTTGCAGATATCCCTGGACTGCCAATTAACATTATTGGTGCATACTAGGCTCTGCGTAGATCGCCTTTAGCTACAAGTTCTGTTGAAAACAGGAGATTGATCTGCAAGGTTTCAGGCCAAGCCACTGATTAAATATGATATATTTCAGCTGACTTGGGACTAAAAGGAACATTAGAAACATTATAGTTCTCATTCTCGAAAGTTGGCATGACAGTCAATATCTAAAAAATTTAATTTACGTACTCTAATTTTTTGTACTAGTGGTCACAACTTTAGAATGCAGATCATTTGCCCTAAAGGATCCCATTTAATTCCTTGTAATTTTCAGATGAGGAAAAAACAAAACATGTCTCTTGAAACAGTGATGTTTCTGCACTAGATGCCTTCTTCTGTGTTACACTCAAATGTTCACAGTGTCCAGGCAGGAGAACAAGCATCATCTCTGTCATTATCTGTCTTAGTTAATCTATAACCAATAACAGTGTAGGAAAGATGATGCACTAATATGCATATCTCCCAACATAGGAAGTTTTATAATCAGGACATGGGTGGGCAAGCCTAAAGGGGGCAGCCCACTGACACAACCCTTGTCACAGGAACTGTCCAAAGGTGGCATAGACATTTAAATGTTATAATTACTGAATAATAGGCTTAGCTACTCAGGATTAATGTGGTCAATTAAGGTTTTATAAGCGTTTATAAAATACAAGGTTTGTTCTATCACATGGTGTATTTTCTTGATAATATGAAATTCGGAATTGGTATGGATTGGTGTTTAATAGCAGGTCCTCACCAGTATCATAGTTCCACTCTTAAGGTAAGTGATAATATCGCCCATGCAAGTACAAATTCGTCCTTGCTATGGCTTATAGTGGCGAGTAGGTTTTAATGCCTGGCTAGTAACATAGGACTTCAAATTGTGAGCCATACATAAACAGTGCTTTTTGGACTTATCATGGTATGCTTGGAGATTGTCTACTGTATGGCTGCATTTTTTTTTTTTAATTCTTTATTTTGGCGTGCAGTGAGATATCACATTG